AGTTGTTGACACAGATGCACTCAAGGGCTAAACAGAGATTCGGGGCCCCAAGTTACCAACAATATTTGTCAATGTGAACAGATGGTGCTTTTAAATAGCAGTTAAATGAGTGCCAGAGAATCAGGTGAGACATATCAACCTCACAAATACTTCTAAAGCGTTTTTAATGTTATTTTAGAAAGGTACGTTTGTATGTTGCCAGAAGCTAATGATTCATCGACTAAGCTAATTTATACTAACTGAAGATATGATGCTATAATACTTTCCTATCCAGGATGGTGAAAAATTTTACAGAATAATATATAACAAACGGTATTTATAAAGCTATCACTCTAGTTCAGCAGAATAATGTCCATGGTTTCTAAGCTGCATATTGCAAAGTTCCTTGGTTCAGATTCTATTTCTGATAGTGTGGTATGAACTGTGTGATAGGGTCTGTTCCAGATGTTAAACTGTCAGTTTCTTGATCTGTCCTGTGTTGGTGGTGTTAAGTCCAGGGAGGAAAGCAAAAGACACACCATGGATTTTCCATCAGTATAAGTTCCAGAAATGTTTGAGTCATAACTTAAAATCTTGGCCCAGTTGGATAATCAGAGTTGGTCAGCTCTCAAAATAAATTTCTGGAAGTCATTGGGGAATAACAATAACATCTTTCAAAGTATTAGCTAACATAAAAAAACAAAAGAACAATAGGAAAGAGCTCATGGCTACAGTTCACCAATATTAAACATATGCTGAATCATATTACGGGCAATTAGGTAACAGTGATACATTTCAGCATGTATGGTAAGATCACCCCCTGTGTATATCATTACATATTTTTAGGGGTCCATCTAATCTAGAGTATAGAAATACCTCTTGTATCAGACTTGTGACCATCAGTTATACTCTTAGAGATCTATTCTACACAAAGTTAAGGGCTACTCTGTATCAGGCAGTGGAATACTTCAATAAATCTGCAATTGAGAGAGGACTGCTGGCTGCAATAAAACTGTCAATAAACCTGCAATTGAGGGAGGACTGCTGGCTGCACATACTACAAATGGGACATAGCCTGGAAGGAGAGCAGGAAAATTGTACTGTCATCTGCCTCACTCTACACTGCACTATACGGTATTATACTGAGCAAAGCCATGTATAAAGTGCAATAGCCTCTTAGGTCACCAGGGAGAGCCTTTGAGCAGGGATCTGGCTGCAGTACTGAAGACCTCCACAAAGACCATCTACAACTCCTCAAGTAAAAACCAGATGTTAAAACTGGCCTGTTCTCTGGCCCAAGGACATAATTGCAAACTCCTCCTCAGCACTGTCTAGAAATCTTTTAAGCAGAATTGGAAAGAGAGGAGAGGAGAACCCTCCTTCATGGGGGAAAGGATTATTCCTATACTTGTTCACAAGTACTGATACTCTGGTGCCTTAGCAGTAATAAACACCAGATAGGGCAAACTCAAGCTGAAATAGGCAGTGCAAATTTGTCTCTCCATCCATATGTCTGGCCTATGCTATTTTCTACACCGGGGGTGCTCAATTCCTGGCACATGGGCCAAACCTGGTCCATAGAACCATGGTATCTGGCCCATGGGGATCCTCATGGATTAGGAAATTTGACAGCAGGGAAGCAGTAGCAATACTGTCACCCTTCCCCAGCTGACAAATACCCAAGCCCCGTGTGACTTGGTCAGGGTTGGGCTACTCCTTTCCCCAGCCTGGCCAGATCAGGACCAGGCCATGCTTCCCACACAACCAGCTCTCTCCTCACAGTGCCAGGCCACACACTCCCACTCCATGAGGCTGGGTTGGGGTGAGGCGATGCCTCTTCTCCCCCTGCATGGCTGAGTTGGGGCTGGGCCACACATCCTCCACCCACATGTCTGGATCAGGGCCTGGCTGTACAATTGCGCCTTGTCTTGGCTAGCTCTCCAACACTATCTGTGGGCCATTGACAGTACACAAGGCCTTGGGCAAAAGGGGACCTGGCCATTCCTTCCTGCTGGGACACTAAATGAGCATTAAGACAAAGAAAGTGAAAGAGAGCACAGGAATCTATTAAATCTGTGTGCCTCTTACCCCTCCTTGGTTGAATTATATAATTCCTTTTTGGATGTTCCTTCGTAGGAGTATTTTATCTGAATTTTCTCATGGTTATCCTAGTTTCCAAGATCCTACCTCAGTGATGCTCACTGCTCTTTGTTATACTTCCACTAAGAGACAAATGGTAGGTTCTAGATCTGTACACATTCCTTTACAAAATATCTGAACAGCGCCTAAGAAGCATGAAGGGCCTCGAGACCAAGAGTCAGATTCCGCATCTCATCTCTAGAAATATACACAGCTCTAAAGGCACTGTGCTGGACAACAGAAGACATGTTGATTTAGGATACTTTTACGACCTTGGGTGCCTGCAACATAGTTTCATAGTTTCAGGGTCGGAAGGGACCTAATAGATCTTCTAGCCCGACCCCCCGCCAGGGCGGGAGAACAACCCAAAAACACAAACAAAACCACTCACCCTAAAAACAAAAACGGGACTCAAATGAGTCCAGCCAGGTAAGTATCCAGCCTCTTCTTAAAGATCCCCAGGGTAGGGGCCAGCACCACCTCCCTTGGAAGTTGGTTCCAGCTCCTAGCCGCCCTGACTGTGAAGTAGTTTTTTCGGATGTCCAATCTGTACCTCCTCTCCATCAACTTGTGCCCATTATTCCTTGTTATGCCAGCAGGGGCTAGGGGAAACAGCGTCTCCCCCAAACCCTTCTGGTTCCCCCTAGTGAGTTTATAGACGGTCACCAGGTCCCCCCTCAGCCTTCTCTTGTGGAGGCTGAATAGGTTCAAGTCCCGCAGTCTCTCACTGTAGGGTCTGCCCTGTTGTCCCCGGATCATGCGGGTGGCCCTCCTCTGGACCCTCTCCATGTTGTCCACATCCCTCCTGAAATGGGGCGCACAGAACTGGACACAATACTCCAGCTGCGGCCTGACCAGCGTCGCATAGAGGGGGAGGATCACCTCCCTGGCTCTACTCGAGATGCACCTGTGGATGCACGACAAGGTCCGGTTAGCCCTGCCAACCATGACCTCGCATTGTCGGCCCATGTTCATCTTGGAGTCAATAATGACACCAAGATCCCTTTCCGCCTCCGTGCTCTCAAGTAGGGAGTTCCCCATCGTATAAGTGTGCTGCTGGTTCCTACTACCCAAGTGCAGCACCCTGCACTTGTCCGTATTGAAACGCATCCTGTTCCTGTCTGCCCACCCCTGTAACCTATCCAGATCCTTCTGCAATCTCTCTCTCCCTGCTAGCGTGCTCACCTCCCCCCAAATTTTGGTGTCATCAGCGAATTTAAACAGGTTGCTCTCCACCCCAACATCAAGATCGCTGATGAAGACATTGAACAGCGCAGGGCCCAGGACCGAGCCCTGAGGGACTCCACTACCCACCTCCCCCCAAGTCGAATATGATCCATCCACCACCACCCTCTGAGT